AACGGGAGCAGTTATTTTGGGAAGAAGATGAAGGGATAAAAGAGCTCGGAAAGGGTACTACAATGCTGGGGAAAATTCAGTAAATGATGGGATTAGGGTGGGGAATGGAGAAGTGGGTCTTAAGAGAGAAGGAACTTCCGAAGGTCTGCCTTTTGCAAAACTTTTTCCAAGGGCAGGACGTGCCCTGCATGGAAATCGAACCTAGACGTAATATGGACCGTCCTGACTATAGAAAGAAAGGTTCAATAATTGATAGGAACGTGTTCAGAAAAACTGAGGTGAAGTCATAAACTACCAGTAATCCATTTGAACAGCTCAATAAACTTGAGTAGAATTATTAGTACCTGTCCATTGTGGAATTCCTTCGTCGGAAACATCCCTCTAGAAACGATGGTGGATTAGGGCGATTGAATGACAAATACGTTGAGGCCTGTAAAAGCAATATTACCTTTTTCTAAATCTTAGACAGTTTATTATTCCAGCACGCGAGTTACTTCACTAAACAAACTTACTGTAGGATGTATGAGGTCTCGATCTCGGACGGGTTGCACTCCACTGTTCTCTACCAGATTGTAAACCTGATAATTTACTATTTGAAAAGATCATATTGGGACTGTAGAAAACTGTTGAAATCTTGTGGGTCTTACCTTCCTAGCCCTCCGGATCCTACGCCATAGTAGACGTAACAGAGAAACGAGCCTCATAATTGCTTTATAGATCTCTGAAATTGTAAAGATATTAAGGACAGGCTGAAAGAGTGTTAGGAATATGGATATTACCAACACAAATGGTACAGGTCAAGTAACAAGGGCGAACACAAGCAAATAAACCAATTACTGTGTCACGAGGGCGGCTCATGGCCTTAGGATGTATGGCGCGCTTCGTCCTTAGGGAGGGTTATGACCCCATTTACTGGGTAAATAGCTAAAGGTTAACTTGCATTGTCCCTACGGGTCAGCATCACGTAGCGAACAAATGTATCGTTCATAAAAAATAATCCTGGTAATTAATAAGAAAATTTTCAAAGCCATTTTTCTCAAACATTTTAGCATCCCTCCTGGGTGCGGGACTCTGATTTTCTTCTCCAACATGACGGTCTGCCGGTCAACGAGGGGGAGGGTATACGACATGTGCACGAACGGCAAACTTCTCCAAACTATACAGGAATTTTCAGTTTTCACCGAAGTATCCTCAGCAACACACGACTGTTTTGTAGAGGTTACAACAGCGCTGCGTCTCGTAACATTTTGATTGATTCCGTCAATGGCGAATAACTCCCATCAGGGTAGAGCGTTGTAGAGCGGAAGCCATCAGGGAGACGCATTTGGGCCGCTGGTGTAGTCGGGGGGGGGGGGGTGGGGAGGGGTCGTATTTGGCCTTTGTTTTCCGATTGTTGACTTTTCCCGTTTCACGCTCTCTATACCTTGGCAGTGCGGCAAAACTAATATTTCTGGCGAATTATGAAGGATACATGCCCCGATGTACGTCCGCTCGATGGCAGTTTTTCAGGACAAACTGGTAAATTGGTGATGTTATGAGGGGAGGGCCGTACTGCAGGAGGCTAGATTGAATCCTTGAGTTCCCCACGGCTAAAACGGTTGTCACTCCATGGTGTGTTGACTCCCAATAGAGGCTCCTCGAAGGAAATGATCGCAGTCTTCACGCTCCCTGAAAGCTCCAGAGGGATGAATGCAGTCAGATTACTGCAGTAATTTGACGGATAGGCTCTAGTCAACACCTCTACTCTCACTGTAATGGATTTATACCTTGACCGCACATGAATCGGAATTTTGATCATTTTGTGTATGATGTTGTTGTAAACAGTCGGATATCTACATGAATCACGCGCGCAACTCTTACCAAGAGCATGGTCCGGGGATCAAATCTCGGAACCATTGGGCCAGCCAGTTCTTCCGTCTCGAGTTCCATCAGTTGGTATGAGACCCGCCCGGGTGCGCAAAAACCTACGTGGACGTCCAGGCGCCTAATAAAGCGGCCCTGCATTCATATGTAACCGCGATGCGGAATAAAGAATCTATGCAAGGCGTATTCCACTATCAGATTCTCTTCATCCTTTTGAGATTTTCACGTTCTTTTTAATAGTAAAAAAGTGAAAGGTATAAAAATTTCAGGTACCGCCTTGTACATGATGGCCCGTTAACCTGCCGATTTAATCGAGGAAAGATGATTGAATTGCATGTGGTTCTGCTGGAGAACATGTTAGTATTTCTGACAAAGCACAGCGATGGCAACAAGTTACAGTTAAAGGTATGACTAAATGCATATAATTATTTTCAGCTAAAACAACGGGCGATGGATGCTCGAGGGATATCAAAGAGTGGCTCTACAAGTGTCTGCAAATACCGTCAGCCTCTGACTGGCCTGTTGGTGCATGCAATCACCAACAGTCCAATCAGAGGCTTCAGTCCCGATTGGCTGATTGAGCACACGACCTAGTACAATTGAGGATTGAGAAATGCTGAGCAGGAGATCAGGGTAGCGCGTAAACTAAGTAGCTTAGAGCCCAGAAGTGATGATTTATTCTCGCTGCGGCTCGCATTACGTGTGTCAGCCGCTTGCAGCGCTGTTTTTCACCGCATAGCCGCAATACGGATCTCCTGACCCGCGCGTGATTACCCTTCCACTACAAGAACCACCGTCAAACCATTGCATGACCTTACTGCTTGCGAATACTGCGCTCATTTACATGTTTCAGACCTTGGAACCATCCAAAGAAACGAAATGGTCGCCAATAATGCCGCTGGCTCCTTTAATCGCAAAGGAGAAGGCAAATGACAAACGGGCATTCTTTCTCGTATTCAACAGCCAATATGGAGCGCAGATTTACGAGCTTGTAGCAGCCACGGCAACTGAGAGAAAGACGTGAGTTATCTGATGATCTTGTGATTTGTTTTATCACGATATAGTCGTTATCGCCGAATTCAGTCGGGACGTTTCAGCGTTGTGTTGTTTTTGGCGCGAAGCCAGCTATTTTCCCACCAATCATTGAGCGCCTGAACCGGCATCGATCGATGAAAAACGGGCTGACACTGCGGCGGAACCCGCTGCAACCCTGACACGCCCCGACTGACTTCGGAGATAAGACGAGTGTAATTGCTCTCTGTGAGAACCACGCCCAAATCTTGGCTGCGGCGAAGTATTCTGCCCGAAATTTGTGGTCTTATTGTTGAATTGAGAGGCGCTATACGTTCTGCGAAGAAAATTCTGGAAAGTGGAAGAGTGGTATAGAGCTGGGAAAATTTAGGGAGTTACTGGGTAGGATGGGGAAGTAGAAAGGATGAGAGAATACCAGAGGAGGAACTTTTAAAGAGGGGGATTGTATTTTACAGTTTTCCCCTAACAGCATGCGCGTGCCCTGATCGTTGCAGACAGACCAATCGGACCATCGATATTATGGTACGATTAATAATTTCAGGTGGTTCAAACTAATTTCCGACCAGATCGAAAATGATAAGAAACATCAAACTCAAGGAATAGAGTAAGTTACGCGAATTTCCACCATTTTATTTATTAAGTGCTAGTATTATCTGGTTTCTAGGCACTGCAATTTCGAAGTTGGCACGAGTTCATCTCTGGATTCGGATGGCTTAGCAAAGGTGATTAGTCCCCTTTCATCTCTCAATCGTTTTCTTCTTCGTCAATTTTTTTTCCTTTTAGGTCCATGTGCTGACACACCCTCGACTGGTCCATGCATCGGAAATTACTGTACAACAACCTACAGTACTAGAACATGCACAACCGGTACTCACACCCACAGAACGATTACGGCGAAGTGATGACGTCATCTTCCAAGCTCTACTCACCAAACAAACAATTTTGGCACAATTTTTACCTGGCGACAAGGTGATTTTTATAGGGGAATTAGGGGAGATTGGGAGTGCTTACCACGGTCCAGCGTGCACAACGTGCTTCGATAACATATCATTGGCTTTCGGCTATGATCCACCTATCATAAATGCGTCTTATTTTTATGGACGTGCCTTAAAGGCACATAACAGGACTCAAATGAATAATAACGATCAGTGATGATTCCTTTTTGCAGAAGGGCAGGACGGAAGAATTGGAGAAGCTGACAGAATTACTGGGCGGTTTGGCCGTTGCAGACCTGAAACAACGCGATTGCAAAGAACTCGCTATGTCGGCTATAGTTCACGGGAATCGATTACTTGACAGTATTAATCAAGGTAATCTTGTAGCTTTCCTTGAACTTTGTCAATTAGCCATATGACCTTCTTCACGGGCTTCATCCCCCCCCCCCTGAACTTTGAACTTAGTGATTATTCCAGGTATGAATGCGCGAAAGGAGGCGGATGAAGCAAATCCCGGTGCTTCACTGCTTGTTCTTGATGACGCGGAGAAGAATCTGCCTTCTGTGCCTTGCTACAAGGTTTGCAAGATATTTATTCAATCAAGTAATCAAGGGCAATGGGCACAATTGCAGAGGGCGGGCAGTTGTCGCTAACGTCATTCGTGGAAGGGCTGAGTGGGGCGTGGCCAATCGCCTTCTCCAACCCTTCCACCAATGACGCTGTTAACAACCACTCTCCCCCAGCGACTGTGCCCGCTGCCTTGAATTGGTATACCAAATAAGCTTTGGCTAGAGTGAGTCGATCTCACACCTGGGAAATTCCAGAAACAGGCTTAATGGCATCATTTCAGCTGACTGCCATAGCTGCACCATTAATGAACCATTTGAAAGCCTTGATGCAAGTGATACAAGACCAACAATCGGAACTGAATACTGTAAAACAGCAGCTGTATCACTACAAAGTAAGTTCAGTTTTCGTTGCGTGAGCGCGATGATCCATTCCACTCTGTACTCTGTTTGCACTCTGTTTTTATTCTAGAATCCACTCTATTAGGGTCATATTTGGGTTACTGGAAGTGGTGAAGTTTGGTATTTACCCCCGTTTCTGCGATTTCAGATCTAGTGTCCACCCTGGGTAACCCACTCGTTCCAACATAAATTTGGGGGCCGTGTTGTTGTGCGTTCTTGAGAGGGTCGTGCCCCTTGTTGCATTTAGACCTTTTTTAGGCTTTAGCCTGCCACCGCGGTGACGTCAGAAAACCGCGTCGCATGCGCGCACGGGTGAGATTTTCCACGGAGCCGAGCACCACTACCTTTCAGCCTCATTTCCGCGCGCTTTCAATTGGCAGAAGTGTTATACTTATACTAGGAAGTTGTACTTTGCAGGAATTGGCCGAGTGCGGTTCGAGAGATCGATCAGTAAGCGAGGAAACGTTAACTGAATGTGTTTCGGATCAACAGGAACGAAAGCTGATGACAAAGCGTCAACGAACGCCGTCTATACAACCAGTCACATGAGCTTCATCGGCTTACATTACTAGTTAGCTGAAATAATATATTTACCGCGAATTATAGTGCACGATGTGTCGAGTCGTGTTGCAGTAGGAACATGGAATATTATGCTCTCGTAGACGGGAGCTGTATAAACGCAGTCCTCATAGGCCTCGTTTCATAATTATTACTTATTAGTACTGCTTTGCCAGTAACTCCGTTTAAAATATTTGCTCATAGGTCTGACGGAGTACTGTCACCCGGCATGCACCATTACTTAATTAATTGATTGATTAATTAACTTCTCTGTACAGACGACAAACTGTATGATCAAATGATTCGCTACCATTATACTGCTATTGTTTTCACAGTAATGCTTTTGTAGTTAATTGTTACTTGATTTCTGTTCATAATTAGGCTGTTGATAACCTCGTTCACTCGAAATGTTCACATACTTTATGTCTACGAATCAGGCCGAGTCGCAACGTACGCAACGCGACGCGTGCGGTCGCCCTAGACCTAATTCATGACATTGGTGTTTGTACTTATCGATTATCGATCCTCTGCGTAATCGTTTCTCGCAGGAATACTGCACTACCTGCCAAAGTACCCAAGTTACAGCTTGAATTCTGTGTCATTCCATGCTGCGCCGGTGGTTTTTTTTAAATAATTGATTTCGTGGGCTCGCATTTTGAATATTGTCATAATTTTAATATTTTCCGATTGTGATTCTATAATTTTGTTCACGTCAATGTTTTTTTAATGTATTTGAGGTGAGTAATGCTTTAATGGGTCTTCTAGAGAGTGATAGCATTTGGGAACTCGTCTGGTTAATACTGGACGTATCTCCTTCCCCCGTTCACGTGGACCTTTTTTCTGAATTCTCTTTCGTAACTGTATAAAATACCTGTGAATCGCGGCTTTCCGATCGATTCTCTATTTGGGATGTATGTAGTACGATGAGTTTGTATGTAGGGAATCTCGGAAACAGAAACTGGTCATTTGTTATCACATACATGTTTGTTTTTGTGAGCTGATCGGTTTGCTTGGCGCATGTCCATAAATTATTATTTTGTCCACGCTGATTTGATTTCGTCACGGGACCTCTCAGGATTACTGTAACGATTTGGCATTTTATAGAAGTAGTCTTGACCCCATGCTAAGTTCGAACCCGCACTTCACGCTTGGCGGGTGAGTACGCTACCCTTCACATGACTAAGCATTCAGACATCGCGATGACGCGCGATGACGCGATGACTCTACAATCTCTCCGCCCCTGTCGCATTCCATCGCAAAACAAGTGGCTGGCGACGATCGATTACATTAGTTTGCTGCGTGCAACGGTCGTAGCCGCGGAGGGGGTATGTGACGGTGCGACCACGCGGCGTCGTGCGCGACACTTGCAAATGCTGTATGATTACGATCGGCGCGCGCTCGCGATGTTTTATTGTCGCAACAGTGACGTTTCGCCGCTATTTTTTTCGAAAGGCAGTACACCCCACCGCAACTATACGACAGTAAGTACAGTCTCTGAGAGTAAGCTGTCCAGAAAGCATGGTGACAGTCAAATGATCAGGGATCATCAGGTACTCTGAATTAACTTGCTATTAGGTTGTCCGGAAAGTTCTCAGCGTTTTGTGCACCTATTTTTTGTACATTCACTGCTGATTAAAAACTCATTCTGCCTTGCTTCTCAGTAGCACATCCTGTAGAGAATTTCTTGCGCTATCT